AGGGAAAATTCTCTTGTTCCAGACATTTTTTCTATTCTAACAGTCGCGACAGCTTCAGAAGCTGTGAAGTCGTCCGTCTTGAAATTTGTAGAGAATCTGCTCAGTCTTGATAGAGAGTTGGGTGACGAAGACAATATGGTCAAAACAATCTTAGTTCCAAACGCTGGGACATTGATCCATAGCTTACATTCACTTTTCCTTGGTGATACTTCTAAAAGGTCAGGACTCTTCTAAATTATCTTGTTCAATTATTTTCCTTTTTCTTGTAACTACATTTAGCAAGTTGTTACTTGTGTGCAGAAATTCTGTCAGATATCATGGTGAGAGAGAGATTACGATTCTCGAACTATTGTCAAAGTACATCCTGGATCAGTCACATGCAGAGAAATATCTAGACGTGTTGCTGTCTTTCTTGGCTAAAAGTGTGAAAGATTCTGGTAAAGTTACGTTTAATCTTTTTATTTGTAAAACCTGTAAATATTATGTTTCTTGTGTGACTGCATCGTTACTTTTACAGAAATCCGTCGTAGGGCTTTGCAAACCGTTCAGTATATCATACCTGCACTTGGAACTGAGAGTATGAGCAAGATTCTTAACATAATCTCTCCACTTCTCATTGATTCTGACCTTGACGCTAGGTTATGCATCTGTGAGCTTCTCAAAGCTCTTGTAGAAATTGATTCTTCTCTGGATATCGTGGTAAGTATCACACCTTTGTTTGAAGCTGACACCCTATGTTTCTTTTTGCATCAGTTATTACAATCCAATAACGGGTTGGTTACTTAAATGCAGGCAAATCTCATCTGCGATTTAAACGCAACCTCAGCAATGGAAGTTGATGGCCTTGACTATGACAAAATAGCTAACACATATGCTGAGATTGATGTTGATTTCTTTCAGAGATCTTCAGAACAGCACACATTGATCCTACTCTCGCAGAGTGTATACAACATGTCATCGAAAGAACACACACTAAGGGATGGTGCCTATGGTCTCTTGCGTACTTTTGTTGCATTTTCAGCCTCAGTACTTCGCCAAAAGGCTTCAGATTCTCCTGACATCAGCAAAGAAGTTGAAAAGCCTAATGGAAATTGGACGAAAGCTCATGTACTGCGTACCATAAAAAAGTTTCTTTTGAAACACATGGGTCGCTCTATGATCAGAGGAGGTTCTATAAGAAAGGTACCGTAATCAATTTAAATCTTGGTGAGCAATATATCCCCACAGAAAAGAGGAGAAAACTTCATTCGATACTAACCCTTGTGCAAGTTCTACAAAGTTGAATACATTTTGTGCCCTGCTGCTTATGGTCGGGTTATTACCATGCCTTTGCTGGACTAATTTGGATTATATAGATTGCTCTTTCTGATCATGAGGGAATCTGAATCTTATTTCTCATATAGGATGTGTTCTTGGGGCTTGTTTTTCTTTCTACTGATGTCACAGGAGTGGATTCATCTGATACGTGAAATGGTGATAGAACTTCCAGATGCTGGAAACCTTGCTTCATTTAAAGCTTTATGTTCTGAAAATCCAGAAGTAGATTTTTTTAAGAACATTGTTCACCTTCAGGTAAACAATTTTGTCTTATGATTTATTGGTTTCATTACTGGTATTCTTGTAGATTTTGTGGTGAGAATACACTTAGATGTATAGAAACTAACAGGAATTTTATCCATTATTTTTTCCCTTGGGATGCAACCCGACATTAGGGCTGATGCCTTACAGAATGAAATATCCTATAACTTATTTAGACGATGGAAGCCTTACAACTACTTTTCTTTGTTTGTCTTGCAGAAACATCGTATAGCAAAGGCACTCATGCGCTTTGCAAATGTGATCAGTACCAACAGCCTACATGAGGTGTGGTTTATTTCAGTTTCTTAGATGTTTTGAATATTTGGTCATTAATCTGAAACTTACGCCCCATTATTGGATTGCAGGGAGTAGTAACAAAACTTTTTGTCCCGCTTTTTTTCAACATGCTGCTTGAGGGGCAAGATGGAAAAGATGATAATGTTCGAACTGCATGTGTGGCAGTCCTTGCGTCTATCTCTGCCCATATGAGATGGGAGTCATACTATGCTCTATTGTCTCGGAGTTTCCGTGAGATGAGCAAGCATAGTGATAAGACAAAAATTCTATTGCGGCTTATATGCTCGATCTTGGATAAGTTTCATTTTGCAGAAGGTGGTAACAGCCATGAAGCTGAAGAGTGTTCCTTCGATAGTTTGAATGATGAGACATGTTTGGAGATTAGCACTCGCCTTCAGAAAACTGTGTTTCCGAAGATACAGAAGTTGATGAATTCCGATTCTGATAAAGTTAATGTTAACATCAACTTGGCTGCAGTGAAGGTTCTAAAGCTGCTCCCAAAAGACATAATGAATGCGCAGCTTCCTGCTATACTTCACAGAATTTGCAGTTTTTTGAAGAATCGGTTGGAGAGTACACGTGATGAAGCCAGATTGGCTTTGGCTGCTTGTCTGAAAGAACTTGGGCTGGAATACTTGCAGTCTGTCATCAAAATTTTGCGTGCTATCCTAAAACGAGGGTTTGAGTTGCATGTGCTGGGATATACGGTAAATTTTATATTATCAAAGTGCCTGTCAAATCCTCTATGTGGGAAGCTGGATGATTGCTTGGAGGATCTTCTTGCTGTGGTGGAAACTGATATCTTTGGAGATGTTGCTGAACAAAAAGAGGTGGAAAAAATTGCATCGAAAATGAAGGAAACAAGAAAATGCAAGTCATATGAAACTCTGAAACTGATTGCTCAAAACGTTACATTCAAAAGCCACGTCAGGAAGTTACTCTCTCTTGTCACTGGCCAGCTGCAAAGGCATTTAACTCCGAAACTGAAATCAAAGCTGGAGAACATGTTAGATCATATTGCAGCTGGTATCGAAGGCAATCCTTCCGTTGTTGAAATAGAACTTTTTCCCTTTGTATATGAAAATCTCGTCGATGATAGCATTAACAGAGAAAAGGGCACTGTGGATCAGTTCTTCTCTCCAGCCTCGAAGAAAGAAAGGAAAGATCTACAAAAGAAAGCTGGCTCTGCTGGATTTGTTTCTGGAACCAAGTCATGTTCCCAGCTTATTACAGTATTTGCTTTGGGCTTGTTGCACAATAGAGTGAAGAATACGAACCCGAACGAATGTACCCAGGAGTTTTTGGAGATGCTGGTCCCATTTGTCGAAAAACTCACTGGGTGTTTGAGTTCAAAGTATGAAGATGTTGTATCTTCAACTCTTAGATGTTTTACTGCATTGGTAAGGTTTCTGCCTTACCTCATGTCCTGCAGTATTGAAGGTGATAAAGTAAAAATAAAACTGTCGACCATTGATAAAGTGAAAATAGCACTGTTGACCATTGCCCAGTCTGCAGTGGATTGTAGTAGTCCTCTGGTGCAGTCCTGCCTCAAGTTGTTGACAGTTCTTCTCCGCACTGAGTTGATCACTTTGTCATCTGAGCAATTGCGGATGTTGTTTCAATTCCCGATGTTTGTTGATCTGGAAACGGACCCTTCGTTTGTTGCTCTTTCGCTCCTCAAGGTAATTGTGAAAAGGGAGCATGTTGTTCCAGAGATATATGATATCGCTATACGGGTTGGAGAGTTAATGGTGAAAAGTCAGCTGGAATCGATCCGTAAGAAATGTAGCCAGATACTCTTGCAATTTTTGGTCCGATATAAATTCTCTGAGAATCGCCTGCAACAACATGTGGACTTCTTGCTTGCAAATTTGAGGTATATACACACATTAACTTGTCGGATTTGGTTCTTAACTTTCCAATAACGATTGATAAGTGATCATTGATTGGTTCCGCAGGTATGAACATCCAAGTGGAAGAGAAGCTGTGCTTGAAATGCTTCACGCTGTCATCAAGAAGTTATCAGAGCCTCGTCTCAAGAAGCAATCGATGGCATTATTTGTACATCTTGTTGGATGTTTGGCCAACGATGGCGATAGCAACGTTCGGTCTCAAACTGGAACTGTAATCAAATTCCTGATAGGACACATCACCGAAGATCAAGTCAGTCCCATTCTGTCATGCTGTCTATCTTGGTATTCTAGCAATAAGCAACAACTACAGGCTGCAGCTGCACAGGTACGTTTTTTAGGTGCATTATCTTGATATGATGTCACGGCAGATATGGAGAAAAGCATTGTTGCGTGTTGTGATCGAAATATGATTCTTTTTAGGATATTCAAAGAAGGATTTCGGTAAGTTGACAATGCAAAATTGTTATTTGAATTACAAAGTCTGGATACATCATGGAGCCATTCATATTGTTCTCTGCTTTATATTGCTTCCTTTCATCTCATTAGTTTATTTTCAACATTCATACATAATGGATATAAATCAAAAGATTACTTACATGTATATATGCCCTAATATTCCTCGTGGCTGTTTGCCTATTCTCACTTGTCTATTGACCGCCTCTGCAGGTACTTGGATTTTTTATCGAGGTCAAGAAAAAAAGCTTCCAGGAGCATATAAATACTGTACTGCAAAAGGCCGAAACAATTCTGAAGTCTGCTGTCTCTTCTGCCTCCCAACAGACGCAAGATACCGTGGATGTATCCAGCATTCCTTTCTGGAAGGAAGCGTATTATTCACTGGTTATGATAGAGAAGATGCTCCATCAATTTCCGGGTTTATGTTTTGGAGACGATACAAAGGTATGTACCTATTTATGAAAGAGTTTGGTTGTATCATTTTTATTGTATGATGCTCTGTTCTATTGTTCTTCGTGGATATGATGTCAATTTTTTTTCCCCAAGGTATAAAGGAAAGTGTCCTAATGATTCTTCATTGTTTCTGGTTTTGTTTTCAGGATATTTGGAGTATGGTCTTTGAGTTGTTGCAGCATCCACATGCATGGTTGCGAAACATATCATGCCGATTTCTCAACTTTTATTTCAATGCATTAGCTAAGACAAAAAGATCGAGCTCTCGAGAATTAGCGGTTGATTCTCTTCTCACAAGTCCAACTAGACTTTTCAAAGTGGCTGTTTCTCTATGCATCCAGTTAAAGGAACAACCCACCACTGGCGATACCAGTAACGTTGATATCCTTACAGCAAACATCGTTTTTGCGGTCTCTTCCCTTCATTCTCTGACGGGTCAAGCCGATACAAATCGTCTGGAAACTTTGTCTGCCCTCGAAGAAGATGAACGAAACTTGTTCCTTGAAGCTTTCGAACTGCTTGGTTCGAGGAAAGAGAGATCAAATTTTCTCGCTCTTACCTCAGGGGAACAAGCTGGGGAAAGTGAAGATGGTGGAAATATTCCGAGAAAAGTATTTGTTGGAAGTTTGCTCAAGAAAATGGGGAAGCTTGCTCTTGAAATGGAACTCATTCAGGTTCCCTTTCTGGATAACTATCATTGCATCAATCATCTATTCATCTGACCTTTGCTCCATTGCTTACTGCTTTACCTCTTTCATGCAGACGAAAACGGTTTTCAATGTCTATAAAAGCTTTACCTCGCAAATGAATCAAGAAGAATGCTGCCTATATGCCTCAATAATACTTCTCCCGCTGTACAAAATTTGCGAAGGGTTTGCCGGAAAAGTCATCTCTGGTAAGTTCCAAAGTCTTTCCACCTCGTTGCGAGTCAGTTTCCATTATTGGACCCTGCATCTAAAGTAATCTCGAAAAGTCTAAACAAGTGGTTCATATACTTGACAGATGAGTTGAAACAGCAAGCGGAAGAGTTAAAGGACAGTTTACGAGACACTTTGGGCATGAAGATCTTTGAAGAGAGATATCGTGAAATCAGGGAGAGGTTGAAGAAGAAGCGGGAGAATAGGAAACGAGAAGAGAAGGTAATGGCGGTGGTTAATCCGGTGAGGAATGCCAAGAGGAAACTCAGGTTAGCTGCCAAGAACCGCGAAAACAAGAGGAGGAGAACCATGAGCTTCAAAATGGCTAGATTCGTTCGTTGAGCTCGGAAGCCATGCCTTGCTCATATACGCCATTGTTGTGAAGTTTTGAAGATTTAGAGTCGTTCGTTCTTTTTAACCCTCGCTGGTTTACAAACCGGAAATGTTGTTTGATCGGCACGAAAAATGGCGTTTCAGTTGAATCTTGTTTATCCACAACTTGTACAATCCCTTTTTTGCATAATAGGAACAGAGAAACAAGAACAATTATAGTAGTCGTCGTCTTGTGTGATGACCATTCTGTTTCTGTTCATCATTTGAAAGATGAGTAATTTTATAGGGGTAAAAACTTCAATTTACAGCTTCGGGGCTGATGTGAAAGATGAGTAATTATAGGGGGGGAAACGTAAAATTTAAAATTTTGGGGCTAATGTGAAAGATAAGTAATCTTATTGGGGGGAGGGGAACGAAAGGAAAATTCGTCCAGTCAGTCTCAACGTGGATAAAAGTCTTCTTTCTTACATTGGCCTTGCACCCGAATCTGAAACCCTAGTTCCACGGAAACCGTCCCCGATTTCGAGCATTCTGTGTTCGATCCCGAGGTTTCTAAATTCAACAATGGAGGTTTAGGCTTCCTTCCTTCGTAGTTCATCTGAGCTGTATCGATTTCTTCATCGGTGTTAATTAAATAGCGAGGGAGAGAATTCGTTTGGGATTTTTCGTTTGATGGCTTCTGATCGTGTCTCTTCCGCTGTTAAGCCCATCTGGATGAAGCAAGTGGAAGAAGCGAAGCTCAAGAGTGAGGCGGATAAAGACGCGGCAGCGAAGGCAGCGTTCGAGGCCACATTCAAAGGTGCCGACAAAACCGCGGCTTTGGATGTTCATGTGGCGGCGCCGGTTGCAGCTCTGCCGGAATCAGACAGCGAATCTGAGGAATCTGATGACCTGTCGAGGAAACCAATTGGTCCGGTGGACCCGGCAAAGTGCACGGCTGCTGGGGCCGGAATTGCTGGCGGCACGGCCTGCGTGCCGTCGACGTTTGTGGTGGTGACAAAGGACGCTGATGGGAGGAAGGTTCCCAACGGCGGAGCTCTGGTTAGGGTTAAGGTTTCGCCCGGCGTTGGTGTTGGTGGTACGGAGCAAGAAGGAGCGGTGAAGGATGTAGGAGATGGGACTTATGCAGTTACATACGCTGTGCCCAAAAGAGGAAACTACATGGTGAACATCGAGTGCAATGGCAAACCCATTATGGGAAGCCCTTTTCCTGTCTTCTTTAGCCAAGGTGTTGCTCTGATCTGTCATGCAAAACTCGGGTTTATCTTTGGTGTTCATTTTCCTCAGAATGGAATTCAGGTTTTCCAGTGATTATTTTGGTTAGATATAAGAGCGTTGTGCGGTCTTTCGTGTTGATTTTTGTTAGTGTCAGTGATGAAAGAAAATTATTCAGTTTAAGTCTGAAAAGTGAAACGTTAAAGAGAACGGATGCTTAAAAGAGAGGGGGGATACTAATATCAGAGGCGATATAGGGTGAAGCAAGTGACTGAAATTATGAGTAGCATTAGAATTACTTCTGTATCATTCCTCTAGAAATATTTCCGTAAAAATATATTCCAATCTGTTAGTTGGTGTTTGAAAGCCTTCGCTTCCATGTCCACTGAATTCATTTCCGGCATTGCATCATAAGTTTTACAGAATCAGAACTATGGATGTTTCCTTTCCTGACTCAATCTATGTCTTAAATAAGGTACTTCTACGACGGGGCTACTCGGTACTACTCCATCTATGTATCCAAACCTTATAAACCAAACCATGCCCAACATGCCAAATTACACTGGTTCTGTTTCCGGAGCATTCCCAGGACTCTTGGGAATGGTTCCAGGCATTTCCTCTGGTCCTTCTGGTGGTGCTATTTTGCCTGGGATTGGAGCATCTCTTGGGGAGGTTTGTCGTGAATACCTTAGTGGTAGATGTGCAAACACTAGCTGCAAGCTAAATCACCCTCCTCAGAATTTGCTGATGACTGCAATAGCTGCAACAACTAGCATGGGTAATCTAAGCCAGGTGCCAATGGCGCCTTCTGCTGCTGCAATGGCTGCTGCTCAGGCCATTGTTGCGGCACAGGCTCTTCAAGCTCATGCTTCTCAGTTCCAAGCTCAATCAAGCAAGGGTTCATCAGGTTCTGTTAATGTTTCATTTCTGCTTCCTTATATTCCTATTTAAATAACTCTATTTAGCGTTGGCACCCCTGTGATATTGTTCAGATATTTATTTAGTTTGATTTTGTCTTGAGATCTTCTGGAGCTAAATAAAGCTTTGATTTAGGTTCCTCAGAAGAAGCAGAAAAGGCTGATATGCTGAAGAAAACTCTCCAAGTTAGCAATCTGAGTCCACTTCTTACAACTGAACAGCTTAAGCAGCTATTTAGCTTCTGTGGCACAGTAGTTGAATGTACCATTACTGATTCAAAGCACTTTGCCTACATAGAATACTCAAAGCCCGAAGAAGCAACAGCTGCTTTGGCATTGAACAACATGGAAGTCTGTGGGCGGCCTTTGAATGTCGAGATGGCAAAATCGCTTCCTCAGAAATCATCTGTCATGAATTCTTCTGTGACTTCATCCTCGCTTCCCATGATGATGCAACAAGCAGTTGCCATGCAGCAGATGCAATTCCAACAGGCCATACTGATGCAACAAGCCATGGCTGCACAGCAAGCAGCAAACAGGGCAGCCACCATGAAGTCTGCAACTGAGCTTGCAGCTGCTAGAGCTGCAGAAATAAGTAGGAAACTAAAAGCCGATGGTGTTGGAGTTGATGAAAAGGAAGCTGATCGGAAATCTAGGTGTGCTTCTTACACAAACTTATAGTCTTTTCCTCCATGACATGTGATATATGCCCTATTTCTTTTTCTTTTTTTAAACGCTTCTCATCATTTGAGAGCTAAATACGTAGTTCCTTTTCTTGTGTAGGTCACCATCTAACTCTAGTGTGAGGTCAAGATCGAGATCAAAGTCGAAATCTCCAATTAGTTATGGACGAAGACGGAGATCCCCATCTTATTCACCACCATTTCGTCGCCCTAGAGATCGCAGATCAAGATCACCATTCAGATCTCACCGGCGATCAACTTATGAGAGCAGAAGGCGGTCATATAGAGATTCTAGGGACATTGTTGAAAGTAGGAGGCATGGTAGCGGTAGATCAGATGATCTTCGTTCATCTCGGTCAAGGAGAAGTAGGAGTTTAAGCCCCAAAAAGAGAAAATCCCGGCGAGAAGATCCTGAATCACCAAGACAACGACATGACAGCTCATCACATGGAGATAAGAAATCATCTCGTGCTGGCTCTGGATCTCCAAGGGGCCGTAGGGAGCATAGAAGGCGTTCAAGATCTAGGTCGACCCCAAGAGATGATGGAGAGAAGAAACTTAAACACCGAAGGCGTTCAAGGTCTAGATCAGTGGAAGCTTCTCCGGAAAAGACGAATGAAGCTAGAGATGATGGATCAAAACATCGTAAGAAAAGGCGTTCAAGGTCAAGATCTAGTGAAGGTCAGAATATTAAGAAAAGCATATCACCAAATCCTGATGATACTAAACAAAAGCACAGGCGGAGATCTAGGTCTAGATCGTCAGAAAACATAATTGGGTCTGATGAGAAAAATGATGCTGCCCAGGATGGTGACTCAAGATCTCATCGCAGGAGATGCAGGTCAAAATCATTGGATGATGACTATAATATGAAGAAGGAACGGACTAGCAGCAGGAAAACGGATGATGCCAAACAGAAGCGCAGGGGAAGGTCCAGGTCTAGATCATTGGAAAACAAGATTGGATCCCATGAGAAAATTGAATCTGACCGAGATCACTCAAGAACCCATCGTAGGAGGTCCCGGTCAAAGTCAGTGGAAGATAGCATGGACAAAAAGTCAAAGCATCGTAGTCGAAGGCGATCACGGTCAGTGTCATCCGAGGGTAAGCATAGGAGAGAGAGTAAGTCCTCACCTAAATTTGCTGATGAAAAGAAATCTGGACGTAGAAGGCGCTCCAGGTCGAGGTCAATAGAGACAAAACATAGGTCAAAGGATAGAGGATCAAAGTATCGTGAAAGGTTACGGTCATCATCTCCAAAAGGTGATGAAGGGCAAGACAGTAGATCGTCGCCTAGAGGTTCTGATGATCACAAGCACAAGAAAATACTTTCTGTGAAAGATAAATACCATTCAGATGATGGGGAAGATGAAAATGGAGATGCAAGATCTGGTAATGTTCTTAAATCTGGTCACCGGTGCAGTAATCTAGTGATTCAACCGATTCCCCTCTAACAAATTAAATCTGTGCAGACAAGGGTTTGAAGGAAGCTGTTGTGACTAAGGAAGCTGTTGAAAATGCTGAAGTGAAGCTGATGCAAGCATCAGATGCTGAGGAGAATTACTAAGTATGCTAAGGCTAATACCTGAGACTGCTGGTAACATTTCATGACTGAATGAATGTTGAATTTGAAAGTTATCGACAACTAACAGATGGCTTTGGTTCATATTGCAGGAACAACAAAACAAAGTTTGGATACTCAAGTTTTAACACCCATGATATGGAAGAAAGCCTTTAGGAGATTATATCGTTTCCTTTTGGTGCTTAAGATTATGCAACTAGCTTTTTCGCATTTAATAAAACACTTTGCATCTTTTTTTTCTTTTTTTCGGTTTTTTGCAGGTATTCGATAACAGTTTGGAACTAAGCACCTGTGCTGCTATAACTATGATGTGTACAACACCTGTGCCATCTATTTAGTGAGATCCTTTTACTGATAAGCTTGCTTGATGTATGTCGGAGCATTGCCTTCTTTGTGATATTGGGCTTCCTCTATGTGAGTGCATGCTATGCTTAAGAGTCCTGAAACGTGGAAATTTGCCCTTTGACAGTTACTTGTCACCACTGTTTGCTCGGCATTGAAGATCTTTGAAGAGAGATATCGTGAAATCAGGGAGAGGTTGAAGAAGAAGCGGGAGAATAGGAAACGAGAAGAGAAGGTAATGGCGGTGGTTAATCCGGTGAGGAATGCCAAGAGGAAACTCAGGTTAGCTGCCAAGAACCGCGAAAACAAGAGGAGGAGAACCATGAGCTTCAAAATGGCTAGATTCGTTCGTTGAGCTCGGAAGCCATGCCTTGCTCATATACGCCATTGTTGTGAAGTTTTGAAGATTTAGAGTCGTTCGTTCTTTTTAACCCTCGCTGGTTTACAAACCGGAAATGTTGTTTGATCGGCACGAAAAATGGCGTTTCAGTTGAATCTTGGGCATTCTTTCCATTTTTCTTTCACGCCATAAGTAGAAACTTAGATCGGCGAGTCTGTTATATCTTGAACACATGCAGGTTGAAAATGATGTTGTCCAACTCGGAGCGTATCCCGATGGTTGTTTGGCTGGACTGATCTTTTTTAAGTGAAGGTAAGAAGTCATATAATGCTAGAGATCCAATTGGTGATTAGCTTTGCCTGTGTTTCTGGAACTTTAGTTATCTTTTCTCTTCTATAAATTTCCCCCTTCTTGCTATATATGCGGTAGTCACTAGCTCGTCCCTCACATTTCTGCCCATCTTTTCTTTCTTTTTGGTCTTTTTTCCTTCTTCTTTTCCCAGACTTTCTTTCCCCTTTCGTTTCTCGTTTGGATTTTCCTTTTCTTCGTTTCCCTAGCTCGTACGGAACTCTTTGATCCGGAAAGCTACATATAAGCTGGATTATGCTTGGATGAATGGTTCCCAACAATGCGTCCGGACCAGATAGATTAGAGGGTGGGATCAACCAGCTAGGGTTCCCCTCTTCTTATTTCGGCATGGAGTGCAAATCTCCTCCTGACAGGTAAAAAATTCATTACAACTGCTAAAGGTGTTCTACACAGGTTGTTCTGAGTGCAACAGCTTAATTCTCTGTCAAAAGATCATCTTCATTGTTGGTTGGTTGGTTGTCATATTGCGAAATATTTGCATGATAGATGCTTTTGCATGTTTCATTTCCTAAAATAGTTTTTTTTGTTCATAGAGAGGACCATAGATGACATGTGATTTAAAAAAAAAAACTACATAAATAGGGGTTTGAGATTGAGTTTCTTCTGTTAAGTCATTCAAACCGGTTTTTACAGTGTTCTCTCTACAAGTGAAAACGGGGTTTTTACTCTTTCAAATTCTCTTTGAAACTCAATTTACTATGTTTTGGAAATGCCCCTAATTTAGTCAATGTGATAATTGTTTGATTAGTTCCTAATTTAGTTAATGTGATTATTGTTTAATTAGTTATGTTTTGGCAATGTCTCTAATTTAGTTAAAAACGTGTGTTTTGTGATAATGTTTTTAATTAGTTAATTTTCTGTAATGTCCCAAATTTAGCTAAAACGTGTGTTCTGTGATGATGTGAGGCAGCGACCATTTCAAGTTTTTTCTTTCATGTATTGCTATATTTAATTCAATTGTACGGATTGAAAAAAAAAAGTTTTGCAATGCTACAATATACTCCATTCCACGTAACTCGATTTTAATGAGAGCATATCCTAAATGTATATGACGTGGCCATGAAAATGAAAGACGATATATTCAATTATATTATGTATTTAATTTAATCCTACAAAATGGGGAGGGGACCATATCGTATTATCCTTGCCGAGATATGACACGTGTAAATCGAGAAATTGTACTTGTTTTTTTTTAAACTAAAAAGAAAAGAAATTGGAAAAAGGACAATCTGATAATGGTGGCCCAACACCATCCAGGACTCCGTCGTCGCTTTCCCCGATTTCTTCGATCTCAGACCCCTTCTTAAATCCACAGATTACTCGCTCTCTCTCTCTCTCTCTCTCTCTCTCTCTCTACGTTCACCGAAAATCCAAATAATTTCCCAAAATAGGGGAAATCCGATAATTCTGATGAACAAACCCTAATTCGGCAATCATGAAATGCTCCTGTGGAATCGCCACTCCTCCCTCTCATTCTCCGTTCCTCCTCCGATGTCCCGTCTCCGTGCCCGTCTCTCCTCTCCGGTACCCGGCCCTCGTCCGATTCCGCCCCCTCAGGATCCGAGCGAGGGTCGTCAACGACGGTCCGGTGAAGCATGCGGAGGAGGAGGAGCAGCGGCGGCTGAGCTTCTACGAGCTACTCGGTGTTCCTGAATCGGGAACGCTTCCGGAGATCAAGCAAGCGTACAAGCAATTTTTTTTTCTCATTCTATATTAGTTTTGTTTCGTACTAAGCGGTTCATCAGGGTTCAGGAGGCGTACGAGACGCTTTCTGATCCGCGACGGAGAGCTCTCTACGACAGAGATTTGGCCAAGGGGATTTCGTTCGCTTTCTCCGCTCGACGGCGTTGCCGCTACGATGAGGTTTGATTCGCTTGATCTCTGTCTCTGTTTCTCTCTCTTTCTTTTTTTGGCTTCATTAAAGGCTGATTTTTTTCTCTGCTGGATTGAAACGAATAGCTATTAGCTTTTACTAAACTCTAATCCATTGTCGTATCTATGATTTGATGGTAAAGATTGTGTTTTTTTTTTTATCAATTTGATTCTGCTAATTAGTTGATTAGTCTTGCCCCATCAATGTTAATGGATACTATCATTTCTATTTTGGTACCATTTCTATTAGCCACAAATACATTCATCAAACATGATCCTAAACCTCTATAATTTCATAGTTGATTTGTTGATTCAGATTGTAAGAAAATCAAGGCGTTGCTTACACATTTCACCAACTTGAATAATCTATTAAAGTTGTTGCCTTTTGATTGAAAATATACTCCACATCCTCTTTTTTGTTCCAAAGTTTCGGGATTTAGTCCTGCAGTATCTGATTTGGAAGCATCATCTCACCGGTACACCTTGTGAGCTTAGGCATTGTTAGTGGATGTTAGATAAAGCAAATAGAATACCTGAGTGTTTCATTTTCTTTTCTGAATTCTTCATTCGTTGTGTTCTGTCTGCGGTGGTTGTTGGTGTGTCATATTACTTATTCTCTAAGTGGGCCGAAAGAGAAACTTTCGACCAACCTTGCTGTTTGTTGTTTTGCATTCATTTTTGGGTCATAACTTATTTGATTCGTATACTTCAGATCGAAACTTGGCCGTTGGTTGCTGGTTTAAGCATTTACTCCTGAACTATTGTTGTGCCAGTGTTTTTGTTTGACTACCTTGCTTCATTCCTACTCTGATTCTGTTAACCAGACTAAGAAATCTCTCTTTGCCATGGATTCAAGAACTTACACAAAAATCTTGAAGACTCTTTCCCACTTAAATGTAAAAGGAATGTTTCACCTTCTTTCTAAGCTTCGTGTTTGCAGTTGTATTGAATGAGATTACGTTGGAGTGCTACATTTGTATGCATCAGAGTCTGAACAACATAAACCATGTACCTCTGTCCGACCCTACCATTGCCAATTGATCCATAAGTAGAGTGGTTGCATGTTAAAACTGGCTCTATCCATTTGTGGGTTGATCTTGATTTCAGTCAATTCTTCGACGGTGAAAAATCCATCGAAAACCCGTCTTGGCTGAACCAGTATTGTGTCGTGTATCATTAAACCGTTCAGTGTTGTGAAACCAGGAAGTGATGGAAGAGAAGAACGAGTGGAAGAGCAGATGGAAAGTGCAGCTCTCTGAGCTGAGGAGAAGAAGCTCTCACAGGGATTCGAAAGGGAACGTTTCTTGGGCCGCAAGAATGCGCCGGCAACATGAACTCATGTCCGAGGATCCTTCTTAGACCTCTGCCCTCTCACTTCTGTAATGCTGTATGTATATGTATATATGTGTATATATATATTTTCTCCCACTTCACTAGTTTTTTTTAGCTCAAATCAAATCTCATATTTGCATGGTAATTGTTGCTGATCTCACTATGTATAACCACGGCAGCTGCATTTACTGATAATACATGCGTATATATATATATATATATTTGTATATTTACCCCCTACGAAAACCCTTTTGAGAATTTGGTTAGTTCAATTGGTTTTATATGTAAATATTGATGATCATAATTATACATTTTAAAGTATGATTACTATTTTATAAATAGGTTACATCACCGGGCTTTTTTTTTTGTAGCGCGATTTTTTTTTATTCAGCAGCAGCATATAAATTCAGTGGCAGCCGTTTTCCATTGAAAACAAACCGTACTTCTTCAATTCCGATTTCACCCTCTCGACCTCTTCCTCCGGCAACGTCACCGTCATCACCCTTTCCTCCGCCACCGCCGTCGGCAACACCACCACCGCTCCGTCGTCTCCCACTCCCTGAATCCCGAAATACACCGATTCTGGCGGATTCCCCTTCAGCTTCACACCGTAAAATCCCGCTTTGCTCAGATCCACGAACGTCAATCTCGCTCCGTACACGACGAGATCCAGGACTCCGTCGTCGCTTTCCCCGATTTCTTCGATCTCAGACCTCACATCGGTGGCTTCCCTGATGGATCGGACTAATTCCCAAAGATCTGCGTCGGCCACTGGATAACCGACCTGAGCGGAGCTTATCGTCTGATCGTTGTTCACCGATCTAGGTTTCTCCCCATTCGGATTCTTCCTCATGACTGTGATCGTCGTCACCAGTTCTGAGTTCTCCCTAACTTTGCCTACACACTTCCATATGATCGCACAGAGAGCCTCGAACACTGGAACCCGATCTCCCTCGTTCTCCGCCGACGGTTTCGCCAGAAAAAATGGTGATATCTGAGCAACGGTCAGTTTGAAACTGAATGTCGCCATCTTCTTGTTGTTGGGTAGGACCCAAAGGTCCCCAACCGGGTCGACCCGTTTTACGAAACCTAGTTCTTCCCGGTCCAAACCGGGTTTTATTGGGTCTGGGCCTGCATTTGGGGTCAGCCTGTTGGAGGGAATTGGGATGTGGATCTTGTCACCAACAAAAGTTTGGGCCCATTGATTGATCGTATACGATAGAGAAAATGGATCTCCGAGAACATGGGCCCAACTCAGGCCCAATGATAGGCCTCCACACTTAAACCGGGTCATCTGCACCGACACAGACCGGAAACAAAACCGAAATAAACCGGTGAGTTTGATTTTTTTTTTTGAATTTTATTTGAACCGGGTCGTATCCCATCAGAAAAATTTAACCAAAATAATATGGTACGGTCAGGTCAGTGTGGTGCATTTATGAACAATAATCTAAACTGTTTTGTTTTTCATCGAATCTAAAATCATTTCACCAAAAAATATTTAGGGTTATGAAGTAATTAATCTATCATATTTTTCATAACTTCAAACATTAAAAATGATTAATTTATCGTTATGTAATTTCAAAGCTTAGTTTAGATAAAATCGTAGTATGAATATAACTTCATATTAACCAAACTTGGGTAGTTCAATCGGTGAAAGCGAAATACAAACATATGTCCCGTTCCGAATTCGAATTTCAAATTTGGAAAGAGAGTGTATAATTCAAATCAAATGGTTGATTTACGGTTCTAATATTAATGAGTTTTCGTTCAAGATATCCCTTCATAAAAAAATTTCATATTGTGAATACATAAATATAACTCACATAAGCATACATCATCATTTAAATATTATTTTTTCGTAAATAATTTAAACATTATTTTTTTTTAAAAAAAAAAAAGATGTTTGTTTTGCATTAAAGATCTCGTACGTTAAGTTAAGTCGCTTACCTGAACATAGATCAAAGGAGAGAAAGCAAGTTCCGGTCCGACCGGTTTATGGAAAACCAGGAGCTCATCATCAGACCGATCCGGTTCACTGAGCCACTCCTCGACGGTGAAATCGCAGTGTGCCTCAACGAACCGAGCACCGCAGTCGTTGCACTTGATGTACGGACGTCCGGACAAGTGGCGGCGGAATCTCCCCGTGGTCCAGGAAATCTGTTCGAACAACACGAACATGCCCTCCTTCACGCTCGTTACGTCGATCTCACCCGCCGTCTCTGCCGAGAATATGTACGCGACTTTGAGGTAGTGTAGCTTCATGGCTAGGTCTAAACCGGTCGGTTCGTGGGTCGTACCGTGCGGTGACGGCCGAGGTGAACCCACCGTCGAGAACAGGATCCCGTGAACCGGACCAGCCCCCTCTTCTTGTGGTCGAACCATGGTTTTGGTTTTACTGTGTTTGAGAGAGAGAGGAAAAAAAAAATTATCTTTCAGGAAAGGAAATGGCAATAATTTGTGTATGTGGTCTTGAACTGGTCGTAGATACAATCATATAAATACCCCCATCTAATTATACAATGTGATGGTTTTGTGTGTGTGTGTGTATATATATCATATGATGGGGGTATGAATTTGTTTTTTTTTTTGGTTTAGGTATGAATTTGTTGGTTATCCTATGAATTGTATAATACATATAATTACTTAATATAAGTGTATTTTATATTCCCTATTGGGAGATCGGATGAGTGTATTTGATATGTTAACAAAATTGTATGAATATTCTTCGGCATATATTTTTGTTAATTTATTTAGATATTTAGACATCTCTTTCAGATATATATTTACATCTTTAATTATATTCAATTTTCATATGTATTCGATTTATTATATGGAAACTTCAAAATTTTTATTAGTCAGATCAACAGATTAAGATTGTCCTTATATTACATATACACACACATCAGATAAGTATATATATGCATATACGTAATTATAATTGCATTAAAGGTACGAAATGAATGCTAGTCCACCAATAATTAATAATTATGAAAATGACATTTTTCTACATGTAAAAATGTGACATTTTTCAACAAAAAAAATTTAATTTGACAAAAATTTATACCAAATTATCAAATGTGTCAAACAAATACACGAACTATCCAATTTAACTGCAATTTTCTACACAATTCGAAAACGGTGTTAAATGGCTATTAATATCTGACATGGTATGCCACATGGCGGCTGACATGGCACATCACATGGAAATTTTTACCACGTCAGCATGCCACGACAGATTTCAAAAAAATTCGAAAAATTCGAAAAAATTTAAAAAAATTAAAAAATAAAATAAAAAGCAAAAATATATATATATACATATATATTCATATCTATATACAAATATAAATATATATACTCCTATATAAAAATATATCTATATATATACAAAATAAAAAAATATACACATATATATACAAACATCTATACAAATATATATATGTGTATATTTTTTATTTTGTATATATATAGATATATTTTTATATACATTTATATTTGTATATAGATATGAAAATATATTTATTTATATGTACTTTTTTGCTTTTTTTTTTTTAAATTTTTTAATTTGTTTTAATTTTTTTCGATTTTTTCAATTTTTTTTGAATTTTTTTTAAATCTGAAGTGACATACTGACGTGGTAAAAATTTCCATGTGGTGTGCCATGTCAGCCGCCATGTGTCATACCATGTCAGATATTAATAGCCATTTAACACCGTTTTCGGATTGTATAGGAAATTGTAGTTAAATTGGGTAGGGATGTCAATTAAACTCGGAGCCCGAAACCCGGCTCGAACCCGCCCGAGAATAATAAAGACATGGGCCTAAAAAGTATAGGTTCATTAAATTTTGGGCTTTCGGACCTCGGACTAAATGGGTTGCGGGCCAGTCGGGTCGGGCCGGTCGGGTCTCGGGTCGGGCTTGAGGTCCATTAATTTTTTTTCTAACCCTTTTTTCTAAACCAAAGTTTTAACTCTCTATAATTATCTTAACTTCTTTTTAATCATATTACATCATATATTGGATAATCTTCTTTTGTATTATTTTTTTTACCAAATCAAACCTAATACTTACTATTTGATTATATTTTTTTGTTTTATATTTTTTTCTCATTCTATATTAGTTTTGTTTCGTACTAGTGGGTTGGATTTTGTTCTTCGGTGCGTATAAACACATGTGCTATATTTATATATGTGTATCTTTTAACCAAATGACGAAGCTTTATCTTGATTCCAATTAACATTTTTTAAAGTGACGGAAACTTTTATTTTTAAAACTATATTATATCATATATATATATATATCATATTATGTTTTTGAAAGCGTAGAAACTTTCAAACATATATATTTTAAACTTTTGTTTGCATATGAATATATTGATTTTTTTTCTACGTATTTAAAATTAATTACATCATATAATATCTTTTTTATATTATGTTTGCCTTTTTTTTAAATATTGTATATTATTATTATTATTATTATTATTATTATTATTATTATTATTATTATTATTATTATTATTATTATTATTATTATTATTATTATTATTATTATTATTATTATTATTATTATTATTATTATTATTATTATTATTATTATTATTATTATTATTATTATTATTATTATTATTATCGCAAGAAAAAATATATTTTTATTTGATAAAAAACCCGAAGCTCGACCCGAACCCGCCCGAAGCTCTATAAGGCCGGACTCCGGACCATCGATCCTAGACCCGAAAAATAAATAGGCGGACCGGTCCGACCCGAAATATTCCAGGCCCGAATTGAACCCGGCCCGAACCCGGCTCGGTCCGCCCATTTTACACCCCTAAAAGTGGATAGTTCGTGTATCAATTTGGCATATTTGATAATTTGGTGTAGATTTTTGTCAAATTAAAAGTTTGTGTAGTAAAATACCATATTTTAGAAAGTCTGTGTAGAAAAATGTAATTTTTCTTTAATAATTTCATATTCACAACCATGCTGAAGTGAAGTCCAACATTTAATGATTGTTAGCTACTACGATTTATGTCCCAATAACGCTAAAAAATAATTATAGCAATGTTTTATAACGTTAGGGTTTTAGCCTATAAATGAAATGTTTCACTAAGCTCCTCCCCAAAACTTTGCGAAAAAACAGCAAAATTAGAGGAAAATGAATCAAGATGTGTTCAATTATCTCAACTATAAACTATGCGAGAAAATATATTCAAAACATGTAAGCCAGTTATTTAAATATCGACGGTTATTATTTTGAATTATGTAAATTCAAACCAAAATTTGTATTTTATAATTGAGTTATTCAAATTTTTATTTGTTTAGAAAAAATATAAATCAAAATGTATTACTAAAGCCTAAAGGTGTTATTGAGGAGCAAAAATGTCCAATATGAGATATGTTGGGTCAAGATTTGGTGTTCAATCAACATTTCCACTTCTAAGATATCATAACAAATTGCACAATTCTCCACAATTTTCATTATTATAAAATTTATTAGATATAACATAATAATTATAGAGTAACTCTGTTTTGATATTTTTATAAAAAAATCTTTTTGATATAATAATCTCTCTCACCTCTTATAAAAATTTCAACAAAAATATTAAGATAATTATTAGATTCAAACTAAATTTTTTGGAAAAAATATTTAATAATTTAATCTAAAAAATGAATATATTTTTTTTTTATAAAAATTCGACTGGAAGCTGATTTGGCATATAAATTTTGCCACCAGCGGTTTCCTTAAAAAGCCTTTTATTTTCAATCGTTTTTTTTTATAAAGATTCAAATATTCAGTTTTTTTTATAATATTCAGTATTTCTTTTTTTCAGATTGGACTAATATATGTTTTTATGGTAATTCAAAAATATTTAATCTCAATCTGGTAATTATCTCGTAATTGGGTAATTTGTTTTGGGATTTTCCTGAAAAAAAAACTGCTTCAAAAAGAAATGAGAAATAATAACACATTCGTTTCTTGGGCTTGAGATCAGGCCCAACCACATATATGGGCCATCCCATTTTTAGCCTATGTAAAACTCGCACACGTGGCATCAAGTGGAAGAGTTGGATAAGTCCGAAAGGCACAATTTCTCTACACCGACTTTATCCTACACCCTAAAAGTCCACCAATAAAGGACTGTTTTACCCCTGACTTTTTCAACTTATAACTTATTGTTGAGGTGGTACACAGTAATAAAATACACCTACATGTGGCTGATAAAAGCTCTAGCGAAAAAAAAAAAATCTGAAGAAAGAGATATTTTCTAATACCTTTGGCCTATAAAACCCTAAAACCCTAATCATCTGTTCTCGTTTTCTTCTGTCGCCTCTTTCCTCTCCTGGGTCCATCTCAAAACCCTAATTTCTACATTTCTCTTCGCCGAGGTCCGTTTTCTCCTCCTCTTTTTTCTTCTTCGACCCTCCTTAGTTGTTGTTATGGTTGAATTCTTCGTAATCTGTGGTTTCATCTCTGTTTAATACTCTCTTGGGTAGTTGTTTGGTTTTCCTTGCTTGTTATTGTTTAAATTCGTGTGTTATCTGGATCTCTGCTCAAAGATCTGTGTAGATTGGTGATATAGCGGTAAAGGATAGCGTATTTCTCAATTGTGTTTCATCTATTAAGACCAAGGATGAAATGATTTCGCTTGGATATGGTTTTCTTGACATGGTCTGTGGTCTTTATTGGATCCAGAGACATCTGCCATGGCTTTCTGCAATAAACTCGGCGGTCTTCTGAGGAACACAGTTTCCCACAACGCGCAGGCTCCCGTGTCATCTATGCTTGGCTCTCTCCGCTACATGTCTACGAAGCTTTTCGTCGGAGGTAATCATTCCTTTTTCCATTTCTGATTTCTGGTTTTGTCTGAATCGGAATATTGGTTTTGAATGTCCTGTTACTGTCGTTTGTGTAGGTCTGTCTTGGGGAACTGATGATCAGTCCTTGAGGGATGCGTTTTCTACCTACGGTGAAATCACTGATGGTATGCCAATGTTCCCACGTTTCCTGTTTTTTTTTTGGTGTTGGTTCTGTCTGATGAGATGATATGTATAGTCAGTTGGAAATTTTGGGTCTTTGTTCATATATTTAGCATCTGATATCTTTCAATACGTATATAAGGTGTTGTTTATCTTGTTCATATAACTATCCGTAGAGTCAATAGATGAAATCATGAGATTAGTATGTGTGTTATTGATGAAAGTACCTTTTTTTTGTGAAGCGAGAGTCATCGTGGATAGAGACAGTGGGAGATCGAGGGGTTTCGGGTTCGTCAACTTCAGCAGCGAGGAATCTGCGACCGCTGCCATGTCGGGTATGGACGGCCAGGTCTGTATATACTGAAGGGTTTTTTTTAATCCATTTTATGCCCATTGGTTTCTCTATTGATTCACTCACATTACCTCTTTGATGTAATTCGATCTTGTTAGGAGTTGCATGGTCGTAACATTCGAGTGAGCGCTGCTAACGAAAGACCCAGTGGCCCTCGATCTTTCGGTGGTGGCTACGGAGGTGGCGGCTATGGAGGTGGCGGCTATGGCGATGCTGCTGGTGGAAGTGGTGGATATTAAGCGATGACGGCGAATATCTATCTTACCCTTTTATCGATGGTCGAAGTTCTATTTTTTAGATTAGTCGGTTTTCTGGAATTTAATATTGTGTGTTTATGACAATCCCGAATGGATTGTACGAACTCAGGTACCTGATTTGCTGCCCCTGTCCTTACAGATTTCGTTGAATCATTTTTGTTCGTTCATATTTCGCCGTCTGATCTTTATTGTTATCGACTCGACGTCTCGTCGCAATCAGAGTCCATGTTTTTCGATATTGGTTTAAAAAATTCGAGTTCGTCACCAGTTAGAAAAATATATTTTTTTTTTTCTATTTTAAATATTTTTTTCTAGTTTTAATTTTTTATTATCAATTTTAAATATTATTATTATTATTATTTTTAAATATTTTAATTATTTTTTAATAGTTTTTATTATATTTAGTATTTAATTTTTTGGTTGGTGAATCGGTTCACGAGATTTGGCAAATTTTATCGAGCCAGAGTTTTTTTTTGACTCGTTAAAAAATGAGTCGACTGAAGCTGATCAAAAATGAGTTGGTTCAAACATATGGGTCGAGTTGAGTCAACTCGTTTTACTTTACTAATCACAATCATACTGTAGAGATTTTGGCTAGAGTTTTCTTAAAAAATTATACTATAACTGAATGTTATAACGGTTTGGTTTGGTTTTAATGTCGGTTTAGAATGGGATATGAATAGAGTATGAAACATAATATTTATATATATATATATATATATATATATATATTAGAGTAATTTGGATTTTAGTCTAATAATTGTCGATTTTGTTTCGGTATTTGTACGGTTTAGATTGGGATGATTTATTCGGTTCTATAAAAAAAATATATCAAATTTAAAAACAAATGTTGTTTGGTTCAGTTCACTTTGGAACTGAATTTCCCAACTGAAATGTCGGTCTCTAATTTTGGCTAACAAATTCCAAATCTAATCTATAATTTGAGTCAGGGGTTGTCTTTTTGAATCGGTCAAGTAAAATGCCTACTGATTTGAACTTTGTATTATGTAACCTTAATTTAATTACTTGAGTCGTATAACTTTTTTTTTCCGTATAAAAAAATTAATTAAAAAATCAAAATGGTTCAAACACACAATGTGAGTTTTTCTAGTGCCAGAAAAATTCAAATTCTACGAAGTGAAAAACGAAATCCACCCTTAAATATCCCATCGCTGATTCTAGTCCGTACGAATTTAAAGGATATCTAAATATTTGAAATATTTAATATTTCCAAATACGACAAACACAATTCCAAATTTTAAGATTACCCATTACGACTAAGGATGGATTTTTCGGTTTAGTTCCAAGAAACCATACCTAACCAAAAATATATTTTTTTTAATCTAAACCGTCAAATATTTCTAAACGATATTATTTTTAGAAAATCGAATTTTTCGGATCTAAACCGAATTTTAAAAAATTAAAAAAACTGGATTTTTTTTTTAAAATTTAAAATTTTCTTAATAAAAACTGATACCGAAACAAAAAATGAACTAAATATAATATAATAATCGATTGATATATATTTTATAAAAACTAAAGAATTGAACTATTTTCGAAATCCAAGTGACCACTCCTAATTATAACAAGTGACCTGATGACTTAATTTATGCTCAAGAATCTTGTAAAGCGAATATTACAACGCAATTCCACTCTTTTTATTTAATTTTTCAGGAAAGAAAATAATAATTACAGCAAATTATTAGCTTAAAAAGCAAGGAACTCATTGACAAAAGGAGCCATAACATTCAATGGAGAATCAAATTGAACAGAAAAAGAAAATAGAGGAGACAAAAAATAAAAATAGAGGAAGAATATATATATTATGTTACAGTTGCTCCATATGTTTCATTCCCCCTTAACAAAAAATCCAACGGTTGAGATCTGCCCTTTTTCTTTTCCAGCAGATCCTGACCACAACACATCTATCAACACGTCATCACTTATTACAAAGTATAACATATATATTTCCCTTTCTACCCCTTTCTTTCTCCCACTTTATATACCCTTTCTTCTGCATCTCACACACAAATTACAAATACAGTGATTTCCCTCCATCCCATAAACATCAATAATAATAATAATAATAAACGAGAAAAATACTGAAATCCGTTTTTTCTCTTCTTTTTTTTTTTTTTATAGAAAATCTTAAAATAATTTATATATATATAAAAAGAGATGGGAAATAAGCATGTGAGGATGATGGCGAGACGAGGAGCAGACTAAGCGGAATCTTCGGGGCGAGAGGAGATTTCCCTTTTTACCCTCGGATGGATCCCGTAATAACCAACGTACCACTTGACGAACTTCCTCAGCCCCGCGGCGAGATCAGTCGCCGGCTTGTAACCGAAGTCTCTGTAAGCCAAGCTCACGTTCGCATGCGTGTAGGGCACGTCACCGTTCCTTGGCATCTTGATCACGTGTTTCTTCGCCTTCGTCCCCAACAGTCCTTCCAAGATTCCGACAAGTTTTCCGACCGGAACCGGCGACGTGTTTCCGAGGTTGTACACACGGAGCTGCGCGGGTCCCTTCTTCTTCCCGCCGCTTCCGGTGCTCTTCTCCGCCGTGTCGAGGGCTCCGACACAGCCTTTGACGATGTCGTCGATGTAGGTGAAGTCACGCGCCACCTCCTTGTCGTCCTGCGTCTGGTAGATGTCGATGGATTTCCCCTGGAGGATGTCTTTGGTGAAGAAGAAGTACGCCATGTCCGGTCTTCCCCAGGGGCCGTACACGGTGAAGAATCTTAGACCGGTGAGAGATAGCCCGTAGATGTGGTTGTAAGTGTGGGCGATTTCTTCTCCGGCCTTCTTCGTCGCCGCGTATAGACTCGCGGGTTGGTCCGTACGATGCTCCTCGGAGAATGGGTTCTCTGTGTTGAGGCCATAGACGGAGCTCGCAGAAGCCCAGACAATGGCGGGTTGAGGGTTCGCCGTCTTCGCGACCTCGAGGAGGTTGACGAATCCAGCGATGTTGGAGCGCACATAGGACTGTGGGTTCTTCATGGCGTAGCGAACACCGGCCTGAGCCGCGAGGTGGAGGACATGGGTGAAGGGGACAACGTCGAAGAGCTTGGTCAAGAGTGGACCATCGTTCAGATCTCCTTCAACGATGAACACCTGGTGTTTCTCCAGGAGATTTTGCCTTGCTCGCTTGAGCGATGGGTCGTAGTAATCGTTGAAATTGTCCAGACCCAGAACGCCATCACCGCGTTTCTTCAACGCGATCGAGCAGTGAGAGCCGACGAACCCGGCGGCTCCGGTGACGAGGACGGAGAAGCCATTGGGCCGGCGAGGAGCGGAGGACAGTCTCACGCGCTTTTCCCAGGCGGCTCCACCGCCGAGGGAGGAAGAGGAGAAGATTCCGGTGGAGAGGAAGCTCCGGCGATGGAGACGGTGGTTATCGGAGGAGGAGGAGAAGGAGAGAGGAGGGTAATTGACGGCGAAGACGAGGACGAGGAGGAGAGCGACGAGAAGGGTTGCTCGGAAGAGGAGCTTCGACGAGGCATTGATGATTTTGGAGCTGTGGATTTTCCGGAGATAACTGTTGTAGCGTTCGAGCTTCACCGTCTTGCTCGTGTCCGCCGCCGTGTACAAGGGCATTTTCGTCTTTTTCTTGCCGTCGCCGCCGCCGTAATATCTATATCTTTCTCCTGGAGAAGAAAGTGGGCTCCGATGTATGAAATAAAAATAAAGGGGCTGAAATGTAATAACCAAAAATATTGAAAGTGAAGAGGGTTTTTGAGAGAGAGCCCTGAAAACCAAGTGGGAGATGTGGTGATTTATAAAGAAACAAAGGGATAGAGAATTTTTGGTCGGAGACCACTTCCCTAATTAATATAATATTTTCCAATGTAAATGTATGTTTTAGTTCCATGTTTTGGGTGTGATTTTACCAAAAATAAAATTTATTAGTTAGGCTAATAGCAACCGACTTGTTTCTGTAATTATAAAAGAAGAAATAATTTGCAAGTTTCCAAGTAAAGAAATTATGTAATCTGTCTGCTTATTTTATTGTATATTTTTTAATTTATTAGGTATATCAATCTTAAAAGGATATATCAAATAAAAATGTGAAGCTATGACTGAAGTAGAAAATTCTGATATAACTCTTATACTTGCTTTAGATGTATATAAATAAAAGTAAAATAAACAGAATAATATATAATTATTTTAATATAATTCTAAAACTAATTATGTATACGTTTTTTAGAATCATATTAGCTTCATTCGAATTAAAATAAACGGAGAAAATAATAAATTTGCATTTTTAAAAATTAAATGTTTTTCAAATTAAAATCAAATCCAAAACAAGTCTGAGTAGAATCAACTTCAAACCAACCAATAAAAACTATAAAAAAAATTAAACGAGTATAATTAAAAATCACATGTAATCATACATATATAATTTTTTTTTTTTTTTGGGTTTACAAATTACAACTATAAATTGGGATTGCAGGAAGGAGTTTTATTCCCTACCCAATTTTGAGTATAATGAGATATTTGTCTTAAGTTGATTTTAACTTGCAACTTAATATATTTATATGTAATCGACATATTTAAAGATGCTCAAATCTTAGGATAAGAAATAATTATAATATGATATTATTTCAAATGCTTTGGATATATATTATATACGTCTATAATGTGTATATATATATATACACATTATACGTCTATAATGTATATATATGCATGTACGTGGAGGAACATATCATAGTTGTCAAAATAGAGCCCATGCGACTTTGACAAGCATGTATATATATATATATGTGTGTGTGTGAACACTTTGACGAATTTTATAGCCGAGCCTTTTTATTTTAATTATTTTTTCATCGATCAGGATGTACAAGGAAATTGGATTATATAATTTAGTTTTAAGTAAATATTTTTAAAAATTCAGTTTTTTCAACCAACTCCTGGATAGTCCACGCGTTTCCTGATATTGGGCGTTCATAAGCATATAATAATTACAAAATTTTAAATAAAATACAAACTGAGATTTTTATAAGAGATCTAATCATGTGAATAGTTCACTTTTATGTATAATATAGAAATTAATATGAACTTTCGAATTATGATATATATATATATATATATATATTATAGAAATTAGTTTGCCCTCAATCCAGCTACCATACTATAATAAAATGAATGAAAATTAGAGTTATTATCGAGAATTGTTGAGAGTTTTAGTTTAAATGGATTTTAGATTTTATTGTATTTTTTTTTATTTGCTTTAAATTGATCAATTTCTTATGATATTAGGACAGGAATTAAAAATAATAATGAAAGAAAATTAAAAAAATATTCCTCAAATTTTGATAATTAACTATATTTAGGATGACGGGATATATATATATATGGAGAAACAATTTTAATAATAACCAACCAAACTCTAAACAAAAAAAACATAATTTTTTTCAAAAACAAATATAATAAAAAATATAATAAAAATCTAAAATACTTTTTCGATGGTTGATTTCTCTTCCACTTAAATTTAATGTTCCATTTAATGTGTATATATATATATATAGTTTTTTTTGGTTTAAATATATATATATAGTTTGTCGTAGACTCGTAGTATTCTAGGCAATTTACCTTATTGTTCATTTATGCACTTGAATATTTAGATATTAAATTGGACCTATTCTTTTATGATTTCGAGATTACAGGCAGAATGAAATACTTAGATATATAAAATAAAATATCAAATATGTTATTACACGCATTTCTCTGTTAATTAGATATCAGTTACTTGATTTAATTGAAACATGGAAGATGCTGCGAAGCATCGACTTATTCGGGCAAGAAAAATAAAATAAAAAATAATTAAAAAAGTGTCGGTGGTCTCATTCATATGCCTTTAAGTTGAATATAATTAATTTCTTTTTATTTATTTTAATTTCAAAATCACCATTTTCCTTTTTTTTTTAAATTGTCGTGATTACATTAACTAAGTCTGAAGTGTGAAGTCGCGTCTCTTATCTGTCTCCTTAGGATTTTAGTTGGAAACCGGAACTCTTTGTCGGTACGGTTGTACTATTAAGACCAATGGTACGTATATATATGTGTGTATATATATATATATATATATATATATATATTGTGAGATAGACTTTGAATTTTAATTATGTTATAAAAATTTTAAGGATTAAATTGCGACATCTTTAAATTAAAGTAATGTTGTGAATATTTTTAAAGTTAAGGAATTCTAAATCTCGTAGGGTAAGATACAATTCTTACTTCAAATTTGTTATCTATATATACACACACACACTCGTTTTATAATTGAAAACTAACAAATTACGTATAATGAGCACCGATGATTGTTATTATTTTGGTTAAGATTATAGATTAAATCATTATTAAATTGCTATATATATGTGTGTGTATATATATATATATATATATATAGTTTATCAAATGATGAAAAAGGAAGAAACATGGATGGGGCAGATGAGTGACGTCATCTTCCACCGATCGGTTGAAAACAATGGCTCGAATAATTGAGGTGACGGATGCGTGGGACCCACCAACCACAATTACCACCTTAATTGTATAATTATCGTTTTTAATTATTTTTTTTATAATCTAGAAATTCACAAATGAGCTTTGGTCCGACTACATCTCCCAGAGGATAAGAGAAGTTCAGGTGAATGTCCCTTCTCACGCTTAGGTTTGAATCCCGAGTGAGAACATATTTTCGATGTTCTCTCACCACTAGATCATCTAAATTTGGGTTAATTAATCCCCTCGTAACGTTGTCTTCTACTCGTTTTCCTCCCCCGCCTACTATCCATTCACCTCACTCGCTTTCATGGTTTATGTTCAAAAACCATTTAGATAATTTTTCTAATCAATTAAAATTCCGTATGATACAAAAATCTAATTTTGGATTTATTCATCTTATGTTCCAAATGTTTCGAGAGAAAGAGATTACCCGAAAAAATATTATGGAAAATAGAAAGTATTAGTTTTATTTTATTAGAGGCGCGTATACAATTAACTGAAATAGTTAAAATTATTTCTAATGTTCTTGGAGTGTCATTAACTTGGATCTGTTTTAAGGCTAGAAGTATAATTTAATTTTAAAGGTTAAAAAAAATACGGAATGATTTGGAGGGTATGTCTCAAAAGGCTGAAGTTTAATTATTCCGTTTATCAATAAATCAAGCTGAAGATATATAATACGAGGATATATATATATATAGAAATGAATAGATTGACATGAATTCTTTAATGAGTATAATACTTTTGTTCTGTTAGAATTTAGAAAGTTGGAAATTGTAGCTAATTGCCAACCTTTCTCATGAGACCATTGCATGGATTTCATTTCACCCACTCACCTACACTAACCAAAAATAATTAATAATGGATGATAAATAAAACTATATGTTCCCTCCATTTTACAGTTTTTCTTCATACTTTTTAAAAAATTATAAAAAATCGTATACACTCTTATTTAATGTAGATTTAATGATAAAAATTACGTTGTTAAAAATTTATTAAAATTATATTAGTTTAATTAAGGGTTAATTGAAAATTATTATAAAAGATTACTTAGAAAATGTAGAATCAAATATATTTATAAACAAAAATAATTATTTTAAACATTAGAACAGGTGACTATGTTGTCATGACAAAACCTAATGATGGCAACGAGTTCTTGCAGGGTCAAAATGTGGTATTTTCATTTCTATATAATCCGTACAAACAACGTTTCAAACAGCTGGCCAAGCCTATCTAAAGACGTAGCCGACAGCTCTAAATCATCGGAAACCACCAAAACGACGTCGTCCACCGCGCCAAAGCCAGCATCGGCCTCCTCCCATCCAGCGGTAGCGTCCGTCGGTGGCGCCGTGGCCGCCGTCGCAGGCGCTGGATGGTTTTTGTTCTGACGTCGCCCATGCAAATTGCATGCAGACGTGAACGTGAGAGATGGCAGTGTGTTAACGGTTGGTTGTCGGTTTGTGGTTTTAAGGTTTGGTTTGGCTCGATCGTTCGTTCGTGATAACTAATACGATAGATTTGAAGATGGTTTAGATAGAGAGATTCATGGGAAATATTCCCACCATATTAAAATAATATAGCGAGTATCTCATATTCCCATCACTAAATATTTACCTTCCGAATATGGTAACTGTTATTAACAAAAAGAGCCAAAATACAAATATTTGAAAATAAAATCATTTACAAAGATTATGTTAACTTTTTTCAAAAACTACATTCTCCGCATCTTCACTTCTTCTCCTTTACAATCACAAAACCTTTCAAGATTTTAGATCTCTCTCAAGACAGTTCACACTTCTCCACTACATACGATTTGGTATATATGTATATATATTTTGTTGTTTCTTTTCGTTATATTCTTTAGTTTTTTTTAAAGATAAATAAAAAAACGTTTTTGTCTTTTCGGTGTATAAAAGAAGGATTATTTTCTAATTTATTCGATTGCAGAGACACGGATGATGGTGAAACTCACTTGGTTACTAGCTTCTCGTCCAGTTCTTGTCTTCGTTGTCTTGGTATCTTTTTTCTTTATTTTTTTCACAAGATTTAATTACGTTAAATACTCTATGATATTAAATTATTGGAAAATTGATAAATGCAGGTGACAGTGGAGTTGATTGTTCCGAGTATTATGATAGAGAATTGGTTTAAAACCACAAAGAGTATAAAAGAAAACGTGGATGTGATGGACGAGAATCTTCGTCGGGGAATGGTATCAGAGCTTGAAAACATCGGAAGAAACTTCTACCAATCCACAAGCTCATCGGCCATTGGATTAGCCCACCTTATTCATTCTTCCTTGGTCCACAACAACACTTCCTCCGCCCACATCCAATCCCTGGTATTTTTTTTTATAAAAAAATCTCCTTCCTACACTTTTATGATATATATATATACATATATATATATATATTGTTGAAATTTCTATTTATTTTTAACGATAATTTTTAAAACTAGATATCGCCGGTACTGTATGAAGCGTATAGATTGATTCCTCACGTCTCTCAAGTTTCATACATTGCTTCCGACGGCATCTTCCTCTCGTTCTTCACGGATTACAACAGAACAGTCGTCATCTTCTCCAACACCACATTTTCCTCGGACTACATTTGGTACACTCAAGACGTCGACCAAACCAACGGTCGCCTCTACGGCGACGCCTTTAAATCTCGACCGTTGGATCTCAACCGCACCGAATGGTTCCAAGCCGCATTGAGTAACGACAATGTCTGTTTAGGACCCAGTTGGGGCATAGAGAATGTCCCTTTATTCTTTAACACCGTCAGTTTGCACGACAAGAAAGGATCTGTCTCATTGGGGTTTCGGGTTCAAACCTTAATCGATGTCTTGAATCAGTTGAATCTCTATGGCGGCGATCTCTTCCTTTCGACAAAGGAGGGGACAGTGCTCCTACGAGGTGGTTCTCCGAATGCCTCATTCTTCGTCTCCAATGGCTCTGCTTGCTTCCATACCGCACCAAAATCACCTCGCAGCCGCAACAAAAACGAAGACCAATGCTTTCCTAGTAACAACGCAACTGTAGGTTATGATCTGGTCATCGACTCTTCGAAGTTCCGGGTTTATTCCTCTGTTCTCGAAGTCGCCGGGATACACCTGGTATTGTTACATCCCTTAAACTTGTTAGATATTGTCTTTACATATGTTATCTAGTGCGAATAAGTTGCGGAAAAAAAAAAGCGTTCTTACCAGGTATATGCGCTAGTGTTTCCTAGCAAAGGAGATATCGTGGCGATGATAGAGAAGAACAGAGAGACGGGGCTGATCTTGTTGGTGCTGACGTCGATGTTGCCAGTGATCTCAACCCTCATCTTTGTGATGTTGATGGTGCGAGCAGCAAGGAAGGAGATGCATATGTGTGCAACGCTGATAAACCAGATGGAAGCGACACAACAAGCTGAGAGAAAGAGCATGAACAAGAGCCTTGCATTCGCCAGCGCGAGCCACGACATCAGAGGCGCCCTCGCCGGAATCAACGGTCTGATCGACCTCTGTCAGGAGGAAGCCGAACCTGGTTGTGAGTTGGACACCAGTCTTAAGCAAATGCAAGTCTGCACTCATGATTTGCTTGGTAAGACATCTTACTTAATTTGGCCATTGCGTATCGTATCTCATAACCCTGAAAAAAACTTAAACTCATTCTCCCGGGTGTAAAGCTGTGGATTTTGTTCTGGTACTACGCTGTTTAGTTTAGTTTCGTTAGGACTAATGGGGTTCTCATAATATTGCAGGTCTACTCAACTCCATTCTTGACATGAGTAAGATCGAGTCAGGAAAAATGCAAGTAGAGGAAGAAGAGTTCAACCTAGCAGATCTTCTTGAAGAAGTCGTCGACTCCTTCCATCCTGTGGCCATGAAGAAAGGTGTCGATGTTATTTTTGATCTACAAGATGGCTCGATCCTCATGTACTCAAATGTGAAAGGCGACAGAGGCAAACTCAAGCAAATCCTTAACAATCTTGTGAGTAATGCCGTTAAGTTCACATTTGACGGTCACGTCTCGATCCGTGCATGGGCCCAGAAGCCCAGCTCCCAGAGCTCCATTGTCTTGGCAGCGAATGCAGATGGAGATGTCTGGAAGTTTTCACGGTTTATGCTCTGCAACAGAAAAGATACAGCAAGTAACAAATTAGAGACCGTAAGAGCCCGTGCGGTCAGTGAGAGGGAATATGAACATGAACACGATGGAGTTTGTGTTTGAAGTGGATGATACGGGGAAAGGGATTCCTAAGGAGATGCAGAAATCGGTGTTTGAAAACTATGTTCAGGTTAGAGAAACAGCTCAAGGGCAACAAGGAACCGGTTTAGGCCTCGGAATTGTGCAGTCCCTGGTAAGCTACTAAGACCTAAAGTTAAACTAAAGATAGACTTAGTTCAAGAAATAACTGAAGAAAAAGAAGTGTTCTAATACTGACAATGCATAACTTTTGTGGCACCAATGGAGCCCTAAACCAAAGTTGTCAACCTATTCACAAGAAAGCATTGAAGAGGACTTGAACTGCATTTTTGTATATAGGTTTGATTCACTTCTGTATCTTTCTTTTTCTTTCTTATAGGTTCGACTGATGGGAGGGGAAATAAGAATTGTGGACAAGGATATCGGTCAGAAGGGTACTTGTTTCCGGTTCAACATTTTCCTGACGACCTCAGAGTCACCTACCAATGACACAGCAATGAGACAGGACAAAGAAACAAAAGGTGATTGCCTATCAACACCAAATCTGGGGACATCAAGCGCTAACAGAAGCATACGGAGCATGAGTCCGAGATTGAACAGCATTTTCCTTAGCTCGAGTCCAAGGTCGGATGGTTCCCGAGTAGTTCTCCTGCTCAAAGACGAAGAAAGAAGAAGAGTTACACAAAAGTATATGGAGAGTCTGGGGATTAATGTAACGGTGGTGGAAAAATGGGAGCACTTGGATCATGTCCTGGAGAGGATGAAATCTAAACTCAACGGTTCTTCACCTCAAAATTCCTTTGGAAAATCAGAGACTAGTTCGAGAAGTGAAATATCAAGGTCAAACTCAAAGGCGTTACCTCTGAGTGCCATGGATGGTATCGATCGTAGAAGCCAATTGCCTACAAAGAAAAAATACAGCCTATCTAGATTTGTCCTTCTCGTGATCGATGCAAACACTGGGTCATTTTACGAGTTGTCCAGTACTGTGCAACAGTTTCGAGACAGCTTACACAGGGGCATCTGCTGTAAAGTTGTGTGGCTCAACAAGAGAGACCGCAGAACAAGAGGTTGGGAGAATGACGTTAGTTTTCTGAAACCCTTGCATGGATCTCGTTTGAACAAAGTGATGAAGATGTTACCAGAATTTGGAGGGACGGTTCCAAAGGAAACACCCTTTGAGCTGCAGAGAGAACCGTCGTTGAGATACTCTCTTGATGCAGAGATGTCACTGAAAAATAAAATGCTTGTAAACACAGAGATGCAAGAAGAGGGTTCGAGTTCAAGCTATGATAGGAAGCTAGGCAAGACAAGGATGATTTCATCCTCTTCAGAAAGGGAGACTGACGCTAAGAGAAGATTTACACATTCGGTACGTACCGTTAAACCTGCAGGGAACACAGAGAACATTCAAGAAACTCCTGAGCCGAGTGATGGAAAATGCTTGGCAGGAAAGAAAGTTCTAGTAGTCGATGACCAAAAAATGATGGCATTAATTGCGAGCAAAAAGCTGATGAAACTAGGTGCATCCACTGTTGAAAAGTGTTACAATGGAAAAGAAGCTGTCAGGTTAGTCAAGGAACAACTTGAACAAAGAGACAGAGCAACAGATTCAATGGATGTTCTTCCTTTTGATTACATATTCATGGACTGTCAGGTAATATAATGATATATTCATTACCTAATACAAGAACAAATGATTCACGTCAAATAAATATTGACGTACCTTTTCCTACAGATGCCAGAAATGGACGGTTACGAAGCAACCAGACAAATAAGGAGAGCAGAGAGTCGGTATGGGATTCACGTACCAATTATCGCAATATCTGCCCACGAGCATGGCTCGAAGGAGGCAAAAGAAGCCATAGAAGCCGGAATGGATGCCCATTTGGGAAAAGAACTGCTTACAGAACATCTTGTTAACGTCATTAAAGAAATTAAAAGTAAGATGACTGCACAATACATACCTTAGCATATCATTGGGAGAAAGAAAGAAGCTTTTCTGGAAATTATAGTGAAAACAAAAAGTATATGCAGCTCAGAAGATGAAGATAAATAGCAGTAGAGATGAAGCATATGCATTACAATTGGGAAGCTAGAGAACATTTCGACAACATCTAAAGTAACAAGAGAACCTTGATACATAGAGTCAAATGAAAAAAAGGCATACACAGTATTTCAGAGGAATCGCTGTTCTGCTCGTTCCGTCGGCTCCAAACTCCATTCTTCTTCCTCTCTTGGTCTTGGCGCATCCAGCTATCATCATCGTTCAACAATGGTCCCTGTGCTAAATCCTCAGTAAGAGTCTGAGTAACCGTCCATTGCGTGATAAAATATCAAATTCAACCAGGAACTCAAATTCCACGAAATCGAAATCCCTAGAAATCAAAAATAGAAGTTGCCTCGGAGGATTTACGAACCTTCGACCGACTAGTGTGGAGATTTCCCTGAAACCTGCGATTGAGCTCGAGAACCATACCCGGGTCGAGCTCGACGGCGATGACCTCCTCGCCGGCTTCTAGAAGCTTCTTCGTCACATCCACATCATGCTTAAAGGCGTCGATGCTTCTCTAGTCTCTGCCGGGAACCTGTGTTCAAGATGGGACCAAACCGAGAGGGTTTAGGGTTTGAAAGAACACGTACCTATTGCAGAAGTCCATCTTCTGGGCAGCTTTTGTATTCCATAATTATCCTGAAGAATATATGTATAATACACAGAATATAAAGTGGCCAGAGTAGGGGTTATATATATGTTATGAAAGAGAAGACAAACCTGGTGTCGGCTGGCCGACTTCTCTAGTCCAGCAAATCGACAAAGTAGCTTGTCTCTGATCCCATGGACATTGGGGATCGTAAAACTCCCATGGACTGTGGAGATTTGTATCGGGAAATTCGTCAGATTTGGCCTGGGAGGACTGAATTCTACCTTCCCACCATGTACCACCTTCACCAGTTTCGTTTCTCCACCACACTAGGCATCTATCCCCGGTTCCCCAGTTTCTTCTTATCGCAGCATCATACCGAGCCTTCTCCACAATAAAATCGGGCAGGGTCAATTGGATTTCTTGGCGTGAAGCTCGGGGTAAAAGACCCAGAAGTGGAGGAGTCAATTTGCAGCAGCCCTCACCAGAACCAGGATAGGTGTCATACTTGACTTTTTCGACCTTGCAAATCTCAAACGGTCCCTATCGGTCGACTCTATGGATACTAGAAACTCTTTGTGACCCCGAGATGGGGCGTTTTTAAAAATGACTTTAATTTTCCATTTTAGTTCAATAGTTATTTTGTAATTTTGATAATATTATTATTTTATTTATAAAATTTTAATTCATTTTCAAAAAAATTTAATATCTCTTTTACTTTTTTAATGTTTCTTTAAAAAAAAGGAAACCATAATTCTTCATAATTATCTTTTGATAAGTATTTCTGAAATATTCAACTTTTATTTTTTTTATTGTAATTAATTTATTTAATTCTATAATTATATTGTTAATTCGTTTGTTTTCTATTATACGTTGTATATCTCTTATACTACTTTCTGTTTCGAAATATTGTATTGGTGTGTTTAATAATTCAATATTTTTTTATATATTTTTTCCATTTTATTCGTTAGGATTTTCAATGATATCTTTTTTAATTTTTCTTATTTCATAAAATATTGAGCTAATCATTTTTATTCTTCGATTTTCTTCATTAAGTTCATGTCTTTCAATTGTCCCATAAATTCGTTTTCTAAATATACTTTCTATTGTTTCAACTAACAATTGTTCAAGATGATCAAGACATGATAAACTTTCAAGATTTAATAGAGATAGTTTTTCGATAAAGTCTTCGTTGAAATACATTTAGTATTGTTTTTTGTAATTTAGAGTAGTCTTTCTGGTTTTCTTCTGATTGCTCAGTGTTGAATAATAAAGATGGTAATTCCTATATTCTTAATCTTGGATTAAGTCGTAACAACGATTTACGTCCTGGTTCTATTGTTGTTAGTGGTCTTTTTAAATAAAATACTAGTTTAAATAAATCATCTATTTCTATAATATCTTTGTTTCTAAAATTTAAACTGTGACGACTATTTGTTAATGTGTAGTTAATCTGATAGGTTATAGAAAAATAGTGATTTTCTTTTTCCATGAAATCCGTTCTATTTAGTTTGTATTGGATAACTATAGAATTATCCAAGTCTTTATCTTTTAATGATAATCCGAATTGTATATTAATGTTAATTATAACAGAAAGTTTAATATTAATTAATACTTATAATTATTGTTTGAAGAACGCTAAATTTTAATTTGTGACTTATGTTAGAGATGGAATAAAAACCAATTTTATAGACAATGGATTTGCTTTTTGATAAATATATATCAGTACAAGGTAAAAATTAAACTTTGTTTATCTAATTTACTGAGTCAAGTTTCCTACCAATTTTTATTTTACTGAGTCAAGTTTAATAACCAAACCGAACAAAACATGTAATTGAACCGATTTTTAAATTCAACGCGCCAACTTTCGAAGCGCTAAATGCAACACGAAAATGGAAAAAATTTAATACAAAATACTAGAATTACCCCTGCGTTCCCAAAGTTTTGTCAATTGAAAATGTCGACTCGTGGTCAAAGGATATATATATATATATATA